AAGGAACTGCGGAGAATTGTCAGAAAACCAGGATTTTGATGCTGGCTGTATAGTGTAGAAATTTACGATGCGATAATAAATCAAAATCGAAACCGATAAGGTAGAGTAACAAAATTCCCGCTGCCCTAATTCATTTTTTATTGAGGTGCACTGGAAACGGAGAATAATCAATAATCAGGCACAGTTGGAAATCAGGACACCCATAAAAAAGAAACCTCTCAACCGGCTCTCATCTAAATAAAATTTAATGTTTATATGGCGCACACACCTCCAATTTATGTTCGACTCGGGAGTGGAAGACTTCGCCCAAAACGAAGACAAAGAGTGTTGTCCTAACAATGGCAAGTCCTTTTCCTTTTCCCCCGGCTCCTTCGGCATTTCTTGGCTTGTTTAGTGGATGATAAATTGCTGCCGTGTGTGAGCTACTCCCTGTGTGGATCCTACTGATTCTACCAAACCTACCGATCCCACCACCAGCAATTGTTATGATTTGTTTATGCCTTTTCGGGAACAGCTGTACCACGCCCGTTTAAAATACGACTGGGGTACAGTCCGAAATAAATACAATTCAATCACGGATTCAGCGGAGATCGCTTAAAAGATACACTCCAAAAATGTGATACGATTTTATTGAAAGTTCTGAGATTTATCACAGATTTTAATATGTACTATTATGCGTTAAATAAATTTAAACATGGGCTTAAAAGTGTAGTTATCTTAAGAAAAAACTTCAGGACTGAATTTGATTTTATATTTGATTCGAATTAGTTTTTCACACTTTAATAACATTCTTAAGATAATCAGGATTAAATCTTCAGTTTTCAATCAAAAATTTACCAAACAATATATTATTAAATCAAGTTTAAAGTTTTATATATTTTTTAAGTGCAGTATTTTACTGAACGCATTTGCTATCGTTATTTTTTTCACACCTAACTGTAACTTATCTGGATCGTCATCGATCAGGAAGTCCCGCATATTGCATTCGAAATCAAAAATCCCCGCTCACCCTGAAACACCGTAATAATTGTACGAAACAAAACCCAAAAAATTAATGCAATCTATTGTGAGATTCAACACGATTCCAGTTAGTAACGCCGATTAGGATCTGCCAGAGGCCTCACGCACGAATCGAAGACATTAATGTGTCAACATGTGCGACGATAGGAAGCCAGCGAGCAGCAGCCACACAACAGAAAAGATATGTTCACAGTAGTCCCTGCCATTGACGGCTAGTTCCTGGTAGCAGGATAGCGATAAGGATCAGAACACGATTCGTGCGAATGTCGCCCAGGGAGTCATACGGAGGAAAACGACCACAACAATGCACGCATAATGAGCAAATCTGGTTGAGATATCAACTGACATATGGGCACCCGTAACATTAAAATCTTCAACTTCGAGTTGGACTGGAATGAAAATATGTATAAATGATATCTTTTCCGTTAATGCCTTTTTGCATGCTACATAAATCTTTGACGGAGAAAACTTCAGTTTTATTGCCCGTATGCAAAGTAGGTTCTGCATTTTCGAATCCCAACTGACCTTCAACCCTTTTCCTTCCTTTCCATTCGCTTTCAACTGCTGCGGTTGACCGCATTATTTTCTCAAAAGGGTTCGCAGGGATAACTTGATTAGACGATAGAGACATTCCATTTGCTCCTTTGGCGAACATTATTCTTGATTAAGTCACATTAATTATGATAATGATGGCCCCGAAACGAATCCCGGACAAAGGCGAGAATCTCAGACAATGGCAATTGAAATGGGAACAGGATATTGTCTGCCGTAGATATAAAACCAAAAAATGAAAGAGAGAAAGGAAGGAAGCCAGAACGTGTGCGCAAATAAAAAATAGTGCGTTTTGGGGGAAGGAGCAAAAGGTAAAAGTGTGATAAATGTCAATTTCCTGCTCAGCATTTCGGACACGCTGATGACTTCATCATCATCGCGATGTCCTTATGCGGAAGTTATCTAATAACCGGCCGGCTCTCGTAATCCTTTTATGGAATTAATCAAGTGTGGCCATGACAAACAGTAGAGATATCCCAGCTGTCCTTGGGGAATGCGCAGATGTCAAGAAATTAAATCTCTTCATGTGACTCACAAAGGCTACAAATAATTTTCTATATTTTCGAAGATTGTTTATATCACAGCTACATATATGATATAATCGTGCGAAAAACCACTAAAATGTATTGTTTTTACCAAAACTGTGAATTCATCTTTTCCAAATCGGTATTTAAAAACTAATTAAAGGATCAGTTTATTTATAATTTAGTTAATTAAGAAAATCAATAAATAAGAAAATAAGAACATCAAAGTAGTTCGTTTTATTTTTTATTTTTCACAGAATTTGATTTGGTAACTATTAATCTTTAATGTGATATAAATAATTTAAGATTCACAAAAACATTTTTAAACAAGCCAATATCATCAAAATAGATTTAGAACCTTATGGAACACCTTCTTCATCTTCAAGTTCAACTATTTGATTAAAATATTTTTACCAAAATAAAGTACAAGAAAAGCATAAAAAGGCAATGAAAATTGAAAATTCCTCATTTATTCAACTCACATTCCGGGCGAGAGACATTCATAAATTATCCATAAACCAGTACAGCGATTGGCCAGAGGAATAATCAAATTTATGGACATTGATACAGTGCAGTGCCTGGAATCGAAAATAAACAATTTTTATAGTTTATGTGGTGTTTGTCGATGTGATTTCCGCTCGGGAACAACCTCAGGTGGGCTCCGTCCGTCAAATTGTGTTCGCTTTTCAGATTCAGTTGCAGTCTGCATATTAAAACAAAAGAGGGAAAAACAAAACTGCAGCTGCCTGGCAAATGATCCTCAAGTGACCGCAGAAGGGCCCAAATGACAAATGGAAACTCCTTGAAGATCTTGAGCAACTGTCACAGCAAGCTGACTGTTGGCAAAATAACAATTAGAAAACAGTTGCAAATGTTGATCTGTTTTTTGCCAGCGATGGATCATTAATCATGCAAAAGAGTAGACAGACCGAAGATCCCTTGATCGATTTGAATTGCTCGAAATCAGCTTCACGTCGAGTGTCATTAATTATGTCAGAGTTTTGTAGTTCAAGAGGGTACCGCTATTAACGGGTTAGCTAAATAAATAACGTCGGCTGACAAGAAATGCAGATCTATTCGCTTTGAATTCCTAATCAAGTGTCATTAATCACGGGGTCGCTTTGATTTTGGCATACGTTCAAGGTGACGGCACAAACAATTGCCGCCTCTGGGCCTTTTTCCTCACGTGACATTGGAAATGTAATTTTTCCGGCCACACCACCCCGTTTCCCTGCAGTTTTCCCTCCGCCGAATGGCCACCGAACCATGCCATGCCAAAAACTCGAATTCAAAGGCATCCACATGCAATTTGCCGTCTTGTTGCCGCGAAACTAGAACACGAATGAGAACTTTTTATTGCCATTATGCTGGCTGGCTTTGTTTGCCCTTATCCAACTGCAGAAAAACATTCAAAAAGAGTTCTGACTTCAAGTTAAACGAATTGTATATACTCTTAATTAACTCTTAATATACTTAAGGGTAAAAAAGTTATGAAACTTATTAAACTTTTTCTAAATAGCATAAATTTACAAGATTTAAATCAAGCACAAATAAATTAAATTATAAATTCAATAATATTTCCAATTAAACTAAATAAAACTATTCCTTTTTAATTTTCAATAGAGTTCGAAAAATATTTGGATTCCTGAAAAAATTATTAACTCTAAATGAATAAAATAAATCCTTTGTTTCCTCGATAAATAATATTCAAAATCTTGTAAGCGAATGATAATGCACTATTTTCAAACAGCCCAATAACTTCAACTAAGCTCCTCTTGGCGAGTGTGTTAAGTAGCCAAGAACCTAAGGTCAATTTTAATTCCGAGGCATTGAACTTGTTGTTGTAGTTGCTGGGGTTAGTTAAATAAAAGAAGGCGAAAAAGTGGGAGGGATGGGGACCGACCTCGCCTTGGCTTCGTTTCTGTGATTTTGGGAGCCAGAGAACCTGCAGAGGCATGCAATTAATTCCTCAATGGCTGCATTGTTGTTAAGTGTGGAGTTCGGATCGCAAAAGCAACTGCCAACAGATATCTCATAGTTACACAACGCACAAAATGCGTTTATTAACAGAAATATGCAGCGCCCACTTGCTAAAAACCAAAAATACAACAAAAACACGGGTAGAAACCGAAAAAAAGAACGCCCCTCGAGGCAAATAAAAATTTGTTTGCCGAGGACTCGATGAACCTGGAAGGCAGCTTATGCCCATGTTATTTATGATTTTTCGCATAAATTTACGCGAACGCTCGTAAAAATGCGTGAAATACGACATTTTGAGTTCTGTGAAAGTGTAACACAGCACTGGCAAAGATATACCCGCCGATCTGGCCAGAGATCAGCAACACAAAGCTCAGCAGCTCGCCGTGAACAATGTGGCAACATTTGCGTGATTTGTGGCTTTCAGAGCGTTAAGCCCCGGCAACAATGTTGCTAATAGACCTGGTCGAAAGCCTGACGAGGAATCCGCATCTAGGCACCCGAAAATTCCCAGCCGAGCCAAGAGTCCTTTCTCACGAGCCGGGAATTTCACTAGAACAAGTAGCCAAGTTTGGAGTATGTTAGCCAAGTAATTACTCCCTTTGAAGCATTTAAGCGAATGCTTAAAGTAAATTATTTGGTTTTATGTGTGTTTTCTTTAAGAGAAGGTAATGTACAAAAAAATATTATAATTAAGCGTGAATTTGAAAATAAAACTCCCATAAATTTTAAATGTATATATTCTTCTGATTAAATATGCAATATTTGTAATATTTTATCTGTTTAATATTTATTCTTCAAAAAACCACTCGCATTTAGGTGCTTGCAATACAAATGTTTATATATTTAAAGGTTTTACATAAATGGTTTACAGTCGTTCTAGTTATGAGTTAATGCGTAATAAAAGAATTCTGGTCAATCGAGTCTTCAATCGTCCGCCAGGTCACCCACCGTGGTTTGCAGTGGCGGTGCAGTGGTGACCGCACTGAAGGGCAGGGCGTGTTGGGTGGCCGAGGCCCAACTCCTGCGGGGCAGGATCCTTCCAAAGTTGAAGTACTTCTGCCGCAGCTTGTCCTTGATCTCGTCCTCGTTCATGATGGCACTCGCCTCGCGGAAATTGAGGAAAATGCGACCCTTGTCATCGGTTTTAATCGGCAGAATTTCGGTGCAAACATTTCGCGCTTTGAGGAGGAAACCCTCCTCTTCCTGTTCTCCCGCTGCCGAAGGAGGTCCTCCGGCGATATTTATCAACCGATCCTCGGGAAGAGCCGCCACACTATCCAATCTGGAATCCATCGACAGGGATCTCGGTGGCTTGGCGGTGCTCGGGTGGTTTTTCTTCTTGCGCAGGCAAAACGGATCCCGATCGCTGGCTTTTACATACTGAACCACCGGTCGATTGACGCCCCACTTGGGTCGATCGTCCATCTTGTTGGCATCCTTGTCCTTGCTCTGGTTCTTCTTCAGATTCTTGTCCTTATCCTTGTCCTTGCTCTTGGCCTTGAAAGTGGTTGTTGTAGTGGTGGTTGTGGTTGTCGTGGTCTCGTGATCCTTTTCAGCAGTGGATTCCTTAGCGGGTTGCGTTTGCGATTTGGATGTCTGGGTGGTGGTTGTGGTGGAAACCTCCCGCTTCAGCAACACTTTGTAAAAATTATCGTGGAACAAGCAGAGATCGCAGTTCAGTGGCAACTCGGTTTGGGTCTCCACATCCGCTTGGTGACCCAACTCGCAGTGGAGTTCATCTCTCTCCTCAGAACTGTTTACGTTTCCCAATTGCAGAGGGGTTTTAAGGGGTATCAGTGCGAGTTTATCCTGTTCTGGTATCGGAACTGGAGCCACATCAACTTCTAGGGAATCTGGCGAAAAGCAACCACTGGCTGTCACCAAATCCGTTCGACCAGATCTCGCAGTCTCGAGTGGTTCATCCTCCTTCTCCGCCTGATAACCATCCTCTGTGTAAATTGAAGTATCAGTTCGATGGGTCATCGTGGCCTTTGAATAAGAACCCGGAGTTTGTGGCTGCTTTTGCATGGGTTGTTGCATGAAATAAGTGGCGATTTGTAGGTTACCAATGGCATTTTGGAGACCAAATATATCGCTGGTAACAGGCAATGGTATTAAGGTTGCCGGTTGCATCAGCAAAGCCATGTTCTCCTTATCCTCTCCCAAAAACGAAGTCTGTCTCTTGGTTTGGGTTGCTCCTTTGGGTTCCTCCTTTTTGGAGTCCTTGGGTTGTTTAATGGGTTTTGTGATGGTGCGTCGAAGGTTGATGGGTGTGCCTATGAGGACTTTTTCTTCTGTGACAACTGGCGGTGGAGCTCGTGGTGTATTGGAGGGTTCCTCCTCTTGGGGAGAAGGTTCTTCTGCACCAGTTTCTCCCTCATCCTCCTCCACGGATTGAACTCTAAGGAGTTCGGACTCCTCCTCCTCAGTTTCCTGTGACATTTTAGATGGCTGGCGAACCATTCGCTTCTTTTGCTTCTCCAACTTGGCAGCCACTTCAGCTTTTTGTATGGCATCCAACATAACTTGCTGCTTTTTCTGCTGCGCCTCCTCGCGTTCCTGGAGAGTTCTCCTCTCGAATTCGAGACGCTCCTGCTCCAATTGCTTTTGCCTGCGAAGGCGATCCTCCTCGATTTGCTCCTCCTGGCGATGGCGTTCCAGTTCCCACTTCCGGATGAGTTCCCTTTCGTGGAGTTGCTTCTTGATGGCATTGTGGTACTCTTCTGCCTTGCGCCTCTTGTTCATTCTCTCGGCCAGAGTTTGGGCATCCAGTGGGGCATTCTGACCCCTCAGATAGGTGGAGGATGACTGCATGGACTGGACATCGTCCTCGCTGTCCTTCAGATCGTGCATCCCCCGGTTGAGCCATCCCGGTGGCTGCTGGGCTGGCTGATGGCCATTCCCCCCATTGAAGTTGGCCCAACGAGCGCGTTCTCTTTCGTGCTGCTCGTGGACATAGAAGTCACTCTGCTCCGGATTGCCAATGTGCACCTGGTAGGTGTTTGAGGTGGAGACATCGCGACTCATGCTCATGTTCGAGGAGCTGGGCGGAGCAGGCATGTAGCAGTATCTGTTAAAAAGAAAAAAAAATAGGTTAAGAATATTTTTAAAGGTTGATGGTATATTAAATAAGAGTGTAGCATTTGTGCAAAAATTCTACAAGTTATCTGAATATTATTAAATATAATAAGTAGTGTATCTATGGATATAAAATTGATGCATTCAAACTAAATAATATATTTATATTACATTTTAGTAGCAATAATTATAAACAAAAATCTTTAATTAGATCTTAAAATTACTTTAAGTGATAGAAATATAATGAAATGCAATTGCAAATGTAAATCATTATGCATTATTAATATTCAATATTAAATTTTCAATTACGTTTATTAAACTTAGTTACCCCTTATTTTACTTATTTAATTATATGTTTCAAAGGCAAAACTTTGCATAGAATGAGGTTATTTTTCCTAATAACAAGCTATTCATTTATTAGTCTTGGTTACCCAGTTAAATTAGCTCACTGTTAATTGCACTTTTGTTGTTTGTTCCCCGGCGGGATTGGGTCACTTGGTTACTCACCCGTCGGCCAAGTATCCGTCGGCGGCGAGTGGCTCGTATCCCTGCCCTGGCACACGGCGACCCTTGATGGCGTACACCTTGCTCAGCGGATTCTCCAGCCGGGGTGGCGGTCGTTGGATGGGCATGGGCATGGGGATGGGTGCAGGAATCGGTGCAGCTGTGCCACCCGCCTGTATCGATCGGCGGAGGCGTCGGCAACCGGCCACGCCCCCCGCCCACTGCGCCCACACTGCCGCCGTCGAGGACACTGGCACTGCCCATTCCACTAATGCTCTCGATTTGGCTCGCACCGTCGTTGAACCAAATGTCCGGGGTGTGGGGATTCTTGGGCGTATCGCTCAGATACCCGGAAGTGTCCTCCTCCTGGCAACCGGGAGGTGCAACCCCTCCTTCTCCTCCTCCTGCTCCTCCTGGGTTTCCCGGGGGATTGTTTAATCGATGTGCCCCGTTGCCGGGATCAATGTCAGTTGGCTTCCCCGTCTTTTCCTGGTGCCTCACCCTCTGTCGAATGGCTGGCAAACTGGGACTCCGCAGGCGTTGCTGTTGCTGCTGCAAATGTTGCTGCTGCTGCTGCTGTTGCAACAGAAGTTGCTGGTGTTGCAGCTTCATTTGTTGCTCCTGTCGCGAATTCTGCATTCTTCCCTTTGCCGTTTGCAGGGATGTGGGAACCAATTCTGCATAGCGAGCAGGATTCTGCATCTGACGTGAAGTCATTCCGGGTGCATAGCTTCCCCTTCGCGTCCTGCGATACATGGACTCGTTCTCGTCCTCGAAATCCGCATCGGCATCCACATCCAGATCGTCTATATATCTCTCCAATTGGTTCATGTACGCCTGATTGCCCTGTCGATACTCCGGCTGTCGTAGGATTAATTGCATATCCGGACCTTGGTTTCTTCGCGAGTGACTGGAAGTTTGATTGGAGGTCGAAGTCTGGCTGAGATCCAAGTTGGAGTAGTAAGTGCGAATGGAGGTGCGCTCGATTTTGTGGTGCGAGGTTTGCTGATGATGGTACATCTCATCCATGCGAGCTATTTCCTCTAAATATTTTTAAATATCATTAGACGGATATTGTAATCATTTTATATGGGTTTAAAGGACCCACCTCTCTCCTTGGCCCATTGCTGCTTCTTCAAGTCCAATAACCTGTGCGTTTGCCTGGCCTCCGGTCCCGTAATCATGTCAGTTCATTGCACTTCCACTTCACAGACCAGAAATATCAAAGGTCGGGCTGGAATCCTAGCACTCGGCGAAGCACCACACCAAGGCTGTGCCGGAACCTCACTGAAATTCCTTCGAACCCTGGGCACCGACAGCCGAAATTCGATTTGTTTTGCATTGGAATGCCAGCGGGTTGTCCTGGCAACAACGAGCCCCATTCAAGGAGTAAACAAAGCCAATTGTACTACCCATTTAAAGGGGTATTACTAGTTTTATATATGGTTTAAAAACCGAACTAATATTTTGTAGTTTAAATAGATAAAAAGAATGAAAAGCTGGATGTTGTTATTATCACATAATTATTGGCATCTGAACTATAATACAGAGATATTGTTTTCGTTCGTTTACTACTTAAATACTAAAATAAATTCGCTTTTTAAATTCATTTTTAGAAGTAAGCAAACAAAGCTTAAAATGATAAATAAGCATTTCTTAATAAACGATAAAGGTAAGAAAATATGAATGATTTACCTTTCGCTTTACATGTTAATCTAGTTAACTGGTTAGCTCATTTAATATCTGTCTAATGCTTAGTCAAGGTAATTGAAATTCGAAGACTCCATGTTAACCTTCCTTTTTCGTTTTTGGTGGGGGCAGTCCTTGCACTCGCTTTTGGCAGTGGGTTAATGCAGTCGGGTAAACTTGTTATGTGGGCGGTGGGGCGCCAGAAACTAAAGCTATCATCGCGTGCCCGATGTCTGTTCCAAAAATACACACTCCATTCGCCGTTGGTTGGTATAAATTAAAAGGACAAGAAAGAAAACAAGGAAGACTCCACCGACTGCTACTCGAGGAAAAAAGGGGCTGTTGGGCTTTTGGGGTCTATCGATTTTCCATCCAGGGTGGACTATCCCCACACGCGTAAGTTCAATTACCGCATATAAGGAAGTGCAGAGGAAAGAGCAACAAGTTATCCACTGGAATCTTTAACCTTCGGGCGAGCGTAGGTGTAAAATGCAGAACGAACGTCCTTCGTTCTTCCAGCTTTTTCCAGCGTTTTCCTCTTTCTGATTTCAGATTTCAGTCTGTCCATTCGATTAGCGGAGGGACCAACCTACCCGAGCTCACAGAATTTATTTCCCATGGTCAAAATAGAAATGGCCAAAAGATAAAGGCCAGCGAAATATCTCATAACCCATTTTCCATAAACATACAGAGACCACAGAGCCAGATCGCTGTGGTGGTTGCCTTCTGCCTGCTGCCTTCTTTTTGGCTTTTCTACCTCGGTGGTGCGGTGGTGCTGTTGGGTCTGTTTTATACGCGTGGGCGTTGAAATCACTGCCAGTCAAAAGGTCATGTTATGATCTTGAGCGAACTATGTGTCTAAGCATGAGAGCATGGGAGCCCGGATCCCCCAGCCGAACGAGAGTTGAGTCGAGTAGAGTCCCAGAGTCGACTCAACTCGAGTGGAGAGCAAGGCCCAGTCTTAAAAGACAGATACCCAATGAGCACACTGAAAAAAATGCCTTTTAAATTGGTCCTGAAAACAGAAAGTAATAATTTTGTTTTCGTATCATGTTTCGGTTTCGTATAAAAGGGTTAAAATTTTATGAAACTAAAATCAAACTTCATAATATTCCTTTTTTGTGCAACTCATTTTATTCACTAGCTTAATATAACAAAATATTTATTTAAAATAAAATTATTGCCATCCTTTTAATTATTTTATACTCCCCTTTTAAAAAGCCTTTTTTTCAAGTGCCAAAGACCAAGAGACCCAGAAAAGGAGCAGCCAGAGATCAGGCCAAAAGCAGAGTAGGGGGTGTAAATAAAAAAGTGAGGGGAAGGGGGAAGAATGAGGGGCAGTGCCACAGACGGAGACGGCAATCAAGAAATCCCACTTGATACAAGTGCATTTATAAGACATTATAATGAGTTTTTATAAACTTAAACAGGGTCGCCAGCGAGCGGCCCTAGGGCGTCACTTAACTAGACGAAGACCTCCCCGTTCCACAACTCGATCCAGATGAACTCGCACATTGATCATGATGAAGATCGCCAAAATCAGCGGGGATCACCGAGATCATAATTGCTTATGCAGCTGGGTCAAGAGTCGAGGTGACCCATCTCCCAAAACGAACACATGTCACCACTCGGGGAATTTCCCCGGTGAGCTCGAAAAGAAAGTGATCATGCCAGGAGTAATGATCGGCTCGATCATGTCCGCTGCCATTTAGGCAGCAATTTTCATTCATCTTCGACTGGGTCCAGTCGAGATTTTCACTTGTCCGCTGGCCAGTGGATTCGATCCTATCCGAACGAACGAACGGGCGGGCAATCAATTGAACGATCGCGCTGATCGCGCCGGATCGTTTTGCTCGATCGCTCTATTCAAACGATCGATGTATCATTTAGCGTGTAACCTCAATACACCTACCAATAAACAAACAAGCCAAATGCCTAATAATTGTAATTTTCCATATTTTTGTCGAGTCTACGATCGGAGACGAATGCGATGAACTCAAACACGATCGAGCCCCAAAGGCAAAGGAGTCGTTTAAATGGCAGATAGAGAGAGATATATATGCACAGATACAGATGGGGTAGAAAAAATATTAAAATAATTATTTAACATAAAAAAACATTTATTTGTGATGTTTAAAATAAATATTTTAAATTAGGAATGATAAATGAGAACAACTTACAAGTTAAAAGAAGAGTTTTAATTTTTGATTTAAATTCTTTTCTTAAATGTATTTTATAAAACAAGATAATTTTTTAGTATTCAGTATAATTATTTTAAATTGATCAAAAATTGCCTAAAAACATAAATGATTTTAACGTATATATTTTCTTGACCTCGCCTGTGAATATTTATAAATGGAGAAGAGAGCATTAGACCATACATACTGATCAAAATTGATGATGTTGACACGAACTTTGAACGACTCTGATCGTCGTCGGCTTTCAAGGGTTTCTCAAGCGATTTTCATAAGTGATTCGGGCAACTCGTGTAGCAAACGACTCTGGGCTTCATCTCAAGTGAGAGTATCGCTCAATTGATATATACAATACTTATTTTTTGGGGTTTTCGGGCTGCTGAAACCACTTGAAATGGTTTTCACAGCCAAGATCGATGGATCGATCGCGCTGTGTAATGGAGCTAATTTTGAAGACCGTCACCGAAATTGACATTTCGCCTGGCTTGACTACGAATTTCGTAATTCTGAACAGGTTGGCCGGCTGTCTTTCTCGAGAACTTAATTGTCGAGCTCTCGAAACACTGCGTCGTAGAATTTTCGAAAGACCAAACCGAATAGTTGGGAATTGTGTTAGCTGCACTTTCGATCGAAACTCACACGAAACTCGACTGCCCAAAAATGGTCACTCGGCAGAAATAACACGAAGGCCCAACGTTAGCGCCAACAGGCAACTGTCAGGTGTTTGGATATCTCCTCCAACATTAACTTCAACCCCGTCTCCGGCTTCAACTTCGAATCCAACTCCAGCCACTCGCATGTGTGAGCCACGAGTCGTAGTTGAAGGCAAAAAAAAATAGTAAAACAGGGAGTGTGGGTATGATAACTTTGTGATTACTTTTGCCCCAGCCTCCAGAATGAATGTTGCACGATAAACTAAAGAAGCGTAAGCTAAGGCCATAAATAGGAAATAGTTTTCTAATGTGGGAACTCAATTAGCCTCGTTGGTTAGTAGGCGAATTATCACTTATAGAGATTCTAGCTTTGAGCAGATCTTACTTTTTTTCGAGTAATCAAAAATTAACTGACTTCTTTGCGCCTGATTATTATAGTTTTTTGTATCTTTTCCTAATAGTATAATAAATAAGGGGAATTATATGATAAACTGAATAGAAAGCAGACACACATAGGTGGTGCAATGCAAAAAAAGGGAAAATGGTATGAATATCTTAATCAATTATTTTGTGGAAAACTTAACTCATAATAAAATGTTTCATTATTTTAAAAATCTTTTTAGAATATTTTTTAAATGGTAGAGCATTCTATGCTTCGTTTTCTATCACTACTGTTATTTTTCTATTTTTCCCCATTACATTTGCTTGTTGTCCTCGGAGCTGACAACATGTTACACTTTGGTCACCATAATGAGCCGTAATTAGTGACACCGATGTATCCGCGGCTATTGCAACTGCGACTTGAGCATCCCAGCAATGCGACTGCGATCGGTTGCGTGTGAAAAGTTGCGCGCTTTTTGATAATTGCCACAAAGAGCTGCGTCCACGTCTGCGTCTGCATTTCTGGCCAAGAAGCCGGACACTTTGGTGTCTTGTGGCTGCAAAGGTGGCCAAAGAGCCGATGACATGGCCATGTGTCAACGTCGGCTCCGTTGACTTCTTTGGCGGCGGCGAGTGTCAGACTAAATGAAAGGAAAACTGATTACGCTTGACAAGTTCAAATTGTTTAGGGACAGGCGACATTAAAGACCGGCGAGAGTGAAAGCCCCAAGCTGTCAAAGATTTTTTCTTCAATTTTATTTCGCTCCCCCTATTTTCATTATTCCAAGTGCCTTTTATTTTTCGGCGAAAATCTGACCAGCAATTTCCCACCGAAGCTGGAAAATCTTAAAATGTCCACTGATTGCCGCAGCTTGTTGTGGCCACATGCATGGAGGTAAAGGCCCGGCCCGAAGCAGCCTGGCCTCAACTTTGGCTAACGGTTAATACAGTCCATCATTATCAGAAATGCGTTTGCCAGCTCCCAGAGCCAGATCTCTGGCTAAGGTCAGTTTAGAGACCGAAAAATTGTTGCCCACAAAGTCCCCCTGAAAAGCAAAAACAACGAAAATTCTCACAAGGCGCTGGCTGCACTGTAAGCAAATTGAAGATGCAATAAGAAGCAATGGGAATCCCCAATATTATTAATTTGGAAATAAGCCTAAGGAACATTTTTATAAAAGGCTTCCAAACAATAATATATAATATTAAATACCCCCTAATAATTTGTTATATATTAGGTATATTAAGCAAAATAAAAAAAATTACTTAAATTAAGGTATTTAAGTTCTTGTAATATATAAGTATAAGTAACCATGTTGGATACTAATTTATAAGCTCCAAAATTATATCAT